GACACCACACCTGATGGACTGATGGATGCTGAGGTGTTTTTAGGAGCATCTGAGGAGAACGGGTCACACATTAACTTCATTCATCAGAACCAGCTGAACCGTGACGGGTCCACAGGATCACTTACAGGAAACACTGAGAGTCAGACTTGTTTCTGCTGTCTTCTTACGTTTCCCTCCATCCACAGGATATCTGACAGAACATGTGATGTTGTCTCCATCATGTGTGTCTGACAGAATCATGTTCTCCTGGATTTTAGTTGTAAACGTTCCATCTGGGTTCTTCTCTGTTCTCTGAGAGTCTTGTTGGAGACTCCAGGTGAGTTCAGGAGGTGAGTGTGGACAGGGAGTCTGAGCTGAGCAGGTGATGGAGACAGACTCCTCCTCCTTCAGATCCTTCAGATCACCTGAGACTTTAATGCTGGGACTCCAGGCAGAATCTGGGATTTACAGACACCAGAGCAGATTAAATACAATCTGTCAAACCGTCTCACACACACACCATTTTGGACTGTAGGAGTTCCTTTATAAACCCGATGTGAGCACAGGGAGAACATAAAACTAAACAGAAAAGTCAAATAGGAGCCCTTGATGTCAAGCAGCCGAGCTAATCTCTGAACTGAAATGTAGCTAATGCGAACTATAAAAAACATGTAAATCATCATTAGTGCAGCAGCAGTTCATTTAAAATAACTTAAAATAATTTCACATTCGTCCACCAACTGAATTCATTTTGAACGAAACAGCTGCTGATCATCTTCAGAACAGTTGATGTTTGTGTCTAAATGTTGGTGAAGCTGTGACGAGTTTTATGGAGAGTTGAGGAGAAAGTTCTTACCTTTAACTGATATTTGAAGAGAATCAGCACAAGCTGTTGCCTTGAAAAGTTCGCTCTCAATTCTGAAGAAGTATTTGTCTGAATAACTTGTGTTTAAATCAGGAAACAGAGTGGTGCAGTCTTTGTCCTTCAGGTTTCCAGTGATGCTCAATTTATAGACGTTAACTGATCCGTCGCTGTGAAAAACGTTATTGCTTGGAGAAGGCCACATATTTTTCTTCCAAACTCCATAGATTGTTTTGCTTCTGTCATATTTTGAATCTGTTAGTTCATAACTACATGGGATTAGCAAACAAGATCCACTCAGAGCTTCCATCATCCCTGGTGTTGTGATGCGAAGGGGTGGTGTTACAGAACCACAATCAGCTTCATCACCTGTGAAATCAGACTGATGGTGAACAAAATGTGCAGAAAATCTTCCTGATCCACAAACTCCAGCTCAGCTGCAGCGTGTTACATGTGGAGCCTTTAGACAAGATCGGGATGAACTCTTTCAGAAAAGATTCGTCTCCACACGAACGAGAACAAACCTGAAACAGCTGCAGGGAAGAAGAGGCTCAGGAACATGTTGACTGTCAGCACAGACAGAGCTGCCATCACACTCTTCATCATCACTCTGGAGACTAGAGGAAAACAAT